CTGCTGCTGCTGCGGCGGTCGTCCTCGCCGCCGCCCACATCGGCCGTGCCGGTCGACGTGGTAGATGGGGCGACGCTCGCGCTCTCCCTGCTCGAGGGGGCGCCATCGCCAGCGTCGCCCGCGCCCGACTCCTGGGCCGCGGCCGGTGGCGCCGGCGGTGCTACGCGCGCGGGCGGCCCCGCGGGCCCCGGGGCGGCCGTCGTGCCAAGGTTGAAACCTGGTCCTCCATCCACAGGTTCTCTCTCCGCCCTCCCTCCACCTTGGTTCGACGCGCCCTCCCCAACCTCGTCCTCCTCAGTCGCGAATTCCTCTTCCTCCTCTGCGATGGGAGGCAGCGACTGGGGCAGGGCGGCGGGGGCGGCGGGCACGGATTGCCAGGTGAAGTTGCGAGTTGTGATCGCTCGGCGTTTTTCGTTGAGGATGCGCACGCAATCACGGTTGGTGTTGATTCCCGGGCCGAGGTAAAAACACTTTTGGGCTTTTGGCTCGGACTTGTGTGTGCGCTTGACCTTGTATACGGCAGGTTTGAGGAACGGGTACGTCGCCCCCGGCGGGGGAGGGTGCCCGTGCCACATCTCGTACGGCGACTTCTTCTCTGGGTTGGATGTGGTGGAGGTGCAGTTCAGGGCGTTGCATGACCAAGCTATGGCCTTGGCCCAAAGGGATGGGTAGTTCGGTGCTCCGGGGTAAAGAGTTGGCGCTTGGATACGGGCGGCTAGTGCTGCATCCTTGATCGGACCCAGTGCTCTCTCAGCTACACCGTTGTGTTCTGGGATGTGCGCGGGGGTGAACTCCTGTTTGATGCAGTACTTCCGGCACACCCTGCCGAACTCTCCCTCAAAGAACTCTCCTCCGTTGTCAGATCTCACGACCATGACATCGGACGGGGCACCGTTTGCCCGGTTTTCGGCAAGGTATCTCTCGAATGCCTCAGCTGCGTCTGATTTGTGCTTCAGGAAATAGACACGGTTCCACCTTGTGTAATCATCCTTGACAATGAGAGTGTACCACTTCCCCCCCAAGCTCTGCACCCTAACTTTTCCACTCAGATCCACGAAAACTCGCTGCAGTTTCTTAAGTGCTCCGGTCGACGTCTTGTTGGGGATGGGCTTGGAAAGCCCCTTCGCCGTCGAGCACCCCAGGCACTCCCGGAGCTCGCCCACCAGCGTCGTCCCTTGCTGCT